TTTGTTGTAATTTTTCAGAACAACATTATTGAGTAAACACTTGTTGAGAACTTCAGTGACTGCAACATCACATTTATCGCAATATGAATCTACTAGAATTTGGTCGCGGTTTAATACATCACGAGAGAATGGTTCATCATTTTCATCAAAATTAGAGAAATGTGTAACAAAGACATTATAAAAACTATTTTGTAGAACACCTATTGGGATGAAATCGAAATCGAAAAAATTAGTATAAATGGCACTATAAATTTTGACATTTCTATACTGCAATTTCTTTTGTGTCACTTTAGAATTTTCTTTTATATCATCCAGATCCATTTCGATTACAATAAAGACGTAATCTGTTAATGGGTGTTTTGAATAATCGAACTTGGAAAGGACCTCAAGTTGACTTGCATAAATTGTCAAAATGACTCTTCTCAAAGTCCTGTGACCAATCATTTCGAAAAGTTGATCGTTTGAATTTGCCGTGAACATTGAAAGGTCAACAAATAGATCTTGGAGATTCTGAAACATCTCTACGTCGCTTGTTAAGCAGTCCAAGTTGTAGAATTTGATTCGGAGTTTTCTGATTTTTTCAATGATGTTTTTTGATTGAATTGTATAAACAGAAAAAGTTTTTGAACACGACAAAAAGTCGATTTCAAGGTGTGTCACGTCTGTCTGCAATTTTCTGTTTTTGGTGATCAAGTCTGTCAAATATAATGTTTGAAGCGCTGGAAACAATTTCTGTATTTTTTCCACAGAATTGTAATATGACAGTTTGTATGGGTTAATATACATCGAGTCGACAACATCTTTGCACTTTTTGTTCATACAAATAAATGATATTATATCACTCGTAGTGGCCATATAAAGAACAACATTTTTGAGGAACACCAATTCCAATTGAGTCATATATTAAACAGATGTTATATGTTATATTATATATACTAGTTTGTTTTTTGAATAAAATAAATCATTTAATCGTATTTTTTTAGAAATGAGGTTTATTTTCAATAATTATTTTTATTTAAACAAAGCAGTTTATTATTTATTTTGCTTGATTATCACTTTAAATAACATTAAACAAAATTCAAATAAAGTATTTTTCGGGAAATCTCGAGTTTATTTAATAAATTTCCAGTTTTTGAAGTAGTTATTATTTGCATTACATTACACAAGTTAAAAGGGGAAAATCATTTGAAATTGAATTAATATCCCAGTAATAACAAGCTAACAAAAAACAAAGCGTTATTTTAAGTGTTAAGAATTGTTATGTTTATAAATATAAGTGTTTGTATCATCATATATAATTAAAGTTTTTAACACTTTTGAAAAAAATAACCCAAATAATAAACAAAAATGATTTTTATTTGGTTATATAAATAAGAAATTAATTTGTTATTTAAACCTATTGACATCTTAATTTCCCAAATTTAAGTCGCAATTTCCCAATAATTTATTTGGTTCCATCTTCAAATTTTATTATTTGTCTTCTTTTTAAAACCAAACATACCGAACTAAAAAAATGTTCTCTCTAAAATTTAAAAAATAATTTGATATATAAAATACATTTTACCAACAACGTTGGTATGTTGTTGGTAAACACTGCATCAACTTATTGTTGTTTGAAATAGCAATACACACCAATGTTTTTACTTGTAGTCCCCTCAAGTCGATAAGGACTGAGTGATACAGAGCATTAAAAAAACTTTGTAACGCATTCAAACAGTCTGTTTGTGTACCGCTTCCATTTTCTTATTTCTTTTTTTGGTGCAGACCTAGGGAAGAAAATTAATGTTACGATATGAAAATCATAAACCGTAGATGAAATGTAAAACATTATAAATTATTATAAAAAAAATAAAAATGATTGTAATGCATTTCGACTTTACTTTCAGCAACTTAAGAACGACTCGATGTAATCTTTTTTCTTTTTCATATCTTCGGATTCGGTCTGTATCCTCTCTCTGTCAACATTCACTGCACATCTGTTTTCCCCAATACATTTTACCTCCAGAATACCAAATGTATTGATTTTAACTTCGCATTCGAACAACTCATTTTTGGTCTTTTTCTGAATCTTATCAATTACGAACA